CACTAAAGTTGAGAGCAAGTTTTCCACTGATTTAATGGCAGCTTGATTAGACTCAACATTTCCTTAACACAACTCTTCTAAATAACAAACCTTTTCAAAGTCTAAAGTATATTATTATACTATGTTCAAAATTTTAGACTACAATTTGTCCAAATGAATTTGCTAGGATTTTTTGAGTTAAATGGTGTTATCATCACATTTTACTTGTTTAACCAGGATGTTATCTGAACCTCTTTTTCTGGTAACAAAAAGTCTGATTTAAGGCACTTGCATCTGATTCCTGCAATGTCTTCAGACTGTAAGTGCTGCTTCCTAAATAAAACTTTTTTGTTCCTCTCAAATACTTATTTCTGTAGTTCCTTCTGTATTTAGATCACAGGTCAGTATTTGTGATATAGACACAGTTACTTCCCTCTTAAGAGACTGATACGTAAGCTTTGCAGTGGTTCTTAACCAGGGTGCCACCATTAGGTGTACAAACATAATTCACAGGATAAACCCAGACATTTCAAATAGCAATCTACAGTGTTAAAAATATCTCGCCCTGTTGTGGTCTTTCTGAGTTCTTTGCAACAGCTCTATTATTTTTCAGCATTCAAAAAGCAAGTGAAAAATAAGAGTTGACATTATTAGATGAAGGGTGCCTCCAGTCTAAAAAGGTTGAGAACTACTGTCCTACTGTGACAATCCACGTGGGTAGGGTACAGCAGCCATATCTTCTGTGGGGTCAACAGAAAAGGCACTGAACTACTGAAGCCTCTGTCCTGCCCCAGCAAAGGAACAACTCCACTGCTAAGGCAAGTAGGTGCCAAACCACACAAAAATCATCCCTACCAGGGCACAACATGAGTATCAGCACTTGATTGCAGTTTATTCTTTAGTTGCTTTGTCCTGACTAAGAGCCCATTGGAACTGCCTCACCTAATTAAAATTATTTTAAAAGACTTTCCTGGAACCAAAACATAATAAAAGAAGAGTCAAGGAAGATATCTCCAGATAAAGCTTTCAAAGGTGTCTAGAGTTCTCAGTCATTTACCAGTTTTTAGAAGTTTATTTTGTTCATTTGGAGGTTTTACAAGCCAAATGCTACATTTGGGTTCAAATCCTCTCAATAATATTTTTCTTTAACACTATAAAGATGCATGTGTTCATTAACTGGGAATACTCCAATGAGTATTTGGATGCCCTGAATATTGTGTGCGTGCTTGGTTTTTTTTTGGAAACAACAGCTTTCCCCATGTTTTACATAAATTACCTGACAGTCCAGTATATTACATTTGCAGTGTCTTCTATACTTCAGCTACGAGTTAAAATTACTATTTTCCAAACCCAGCTTTCTCAAAAGTAAACTAAACTTACTTTCTTTTCTAGACATTCTGCAAATTTCAGCTGCTTCAACAGCTTCTTCTGCTTGTTGCTGAAGCGATTGTCCTGTTCTGCACTTGTTCCCTATAATAAATGCAAAGAGTTTAGTTTGTACAATATTAACATTTGTTCTAAACAGTTTGTTTCAAGTTCTTCACCATACATTATTTTGTTAGAAACACTGACAAACTGCACAGCAATTACAAAACATACCAGTTACACCACTTTTGCATACATATAAGCTCTTTCAAGTAGCATTCCACTTCAGTACTATGATCTTCACTTCCTGCT